CTTGTTCTAAGAAAAACTAAATAATTCACTTAATCTTTTTAAAACTAATTTAATTTATAAGTTGACCTATCCATTTAATTAACTTATACTAATTAAAAGTTTGGCCGTAAACAAAGGAAAGTCGGTTGACTAAATGGATGTTTCTAATGCCTTTTTGCATGGCATCTTCAAGAGTCTGTTTATATGCAGCAACCGTAAGGCTTCATTGATCATCACTATTCTGATTATGTTTGTAAATTAAAGAAATCCTTGAACAAGCACTAAGGGCATGGTACCATTGCCTCACATATACACTTCTTAACTTGGGTTTTAAAGGCTCGCAAGCAAACACATCACTATTTATTTACACAACAAAAGCTTATGTTTTGTACATGTAGATGACATTTTGATTATAAGAAACAACAATTCTTTATTGAAGAAACAAAAACTCCAACAAAAGTTTGCAATTAAAGATTTGGAAAGGCTGCACTACTTCCTTGGCATTGAAGCGCAATGGACCAAGGGAGGAATACTACTTACTCAATGAATATGCATCAAAGACATTCTAGATAAGGCAAATATGCTTGAAGCAAGTACGGTATCAACTCCAACCTGCCCATCGACAAGAATATCTGTCGCCAGAACTACCTTCGAAAATCCAACTTTGTTTCATAGAATAGTAGGAGGGCTTCAATATATTGCATTGACTCACCTAGATATTTCGTTTGCTATCAACTAAGTTGCAGAATTTATGCATTCTTCAACCGTCACTTGCTGGCCTGCTTTGAAACGCATACTTCATTATTTTGGGAGCACGACCGCTCATGGCTTTAGTTAAAAGCCAAAAAATGGGCTTCGAAATAGTAAATATAACAAAATAGATATCAAAACTTATAAAAAGATTTCATTTACATTCCTAAATATAACTAATTTCTCCCAAAAAATTATTTATTTACAAGATATAAACAAATTATTTAAATAAATAGACATGCTAATTTACTCCAATTATGTATTAAAACCAAATTAAAGAACCTATTTTTTAACAATGCAATAAAACATTTTGAGAAAAATTAAAATACAACAATAAAAAAGAGTGTAATAAAAATAATTTTAAACTTTGAAAAAACAAAATAAAAGTACAATGTAAGGATCGAAATAAAAAAGCTGACAACAAATAGGTTAAAAAATCACACAAACAAAACTCCACCAATCAAAATAGAGATAAGATGATAGAACATGAACTAAAACCAACAAAAACTTCACCAAAAGCCAAAAAAAAAAAAGAAAAAAAAGACATAGCTAGAGTGGAATTACATTTAATTTTAGTTTATTTACTATCATGCCTCTCGCGTGTTGCCACATTGTGAGTTACACAATTTTTTTTTTGTGTTCAACTATATAAAATAGAGAGTTATAACAATTCATATAGCAGTGGTAACAAGACAGCTTAATATATATACAAAGGGCTTGTTTCAAAACTTTTAGATAAATATATTTTATAGTAATAAAAAAATACAAAGCCTGATTCCAATAAAAGACATATACTCTAATAATGTATTAAAATTAAATCAAAGAGCCTATTTTCAATAATTCAATAAAAAAATTTAAGAAAAAATAAAATACCGCAATAAAAATAAGCACAACAAGAATAATTTTAAATTTTAAAGCATCTAAATAAAAGTATAATATAATGATTGAAATGAAAAAACAAAGAAAACTTTATAGCATGCAAGGCAAAAATCACACTTGACAAAACTTCAGTGACCAAAATAGAAGTAAGATCAGGGTGGATAAAAAATAATAAAAAAAGTTAAAAAAAAAACGCTTAATTATAGCTAAACTAGATTTACTTGAATATTTGATATCAAAAATTATATATATATATATATATATATATATATATATATATTCAGTTGTACTCCTAAATATAACTAAACACTATGAAAGAAAATCAGATTATTTATTCACAAGATAAAAAAATATTTAAATAAATAGACATGTTGATTCACTCCAATAATATATTAAAATAAAATCAAAGAGGCTATTTTTAATAATTCTATAAAATAATTTAAGAAAAATTAACATCCAACTATAAGAATAATTTCAAACTTTAAAAGACCAAAATAAGAGTATAATATAAGGACCACAACGAAAAAAAAAGAAGAAAACTTTGAAGCATGCAGGGACAAAAATACATATGTCAAAACTTTAATGACAAAAATAGAGATAAAATCACATAACAAAGACCAAAAAATACAAAAAGTCAAAAAAAGGCTTTGCCGCTGGCTGTAGCGAAACTATATTTAATCGTATAACAATAAAAATGAATATAATAAGAATAATTTTAAATTTTGGAAGACAAAAATAAAAATATAATAAAAGGAAACAAGTAAAAAAAAAAAAAAAACAAAGAAAATTTTACAGCATATAGGGACAAAAATTGTATAACAAACCCTAATTACCAAAATAAAGATAAGATTACAAATTAAATAGGGATCGAAACGAAAAAAAATTCACAAAAAGCCAAAAATGGACTTAACAATAATGAAACTACATTTAGTTTTAATTTATTTGTTAATTAATACTAATACGAAGGAACAAAGAGAAGGTTGCTCATTCTTGTCCGATAACTTAAAGTTTTCAATCTATCTACAATTCTATTATATTTTTATTATTTTAACAAATTTTTAATTTATTTTTTTGATCAATTTTTTGACAAAATCAGTAAAATTTAACCATGTAACTTGCATATGATCTTTTGTTTTTGACAAAAATATCCCTCATGTAATTTTTTCTCTCTTTTTTTGTTTTTCTTCTTCTTCTGCCTCTTCTCTCCACCCCAGCTCTCACTCTCTTTCTCTCTCTTAGTTGAGAGAGGAGGAAGAGCAAGAAGAAGCAGAAAGGAAAAAAAAAAAAGAGGGATAATTTTTAACAAAAAAAGACTATGTGCAAATCACATGTTTAATTTTTCATGATTTTGTTAGAAATTTGATCAAAATAAACATAAATATAATAAAATTGTTTTAAAATATAAAAATAAGATTAAAAAGTTAAACTATTATTTAGTAACAAATGATGTTATTTATTTATTTATTCTTCTTTTATAATAAAGCTTTAGGAATTGGAAAGCTTACAATTGTTAAAAATAAAGGAGTCTATCCTATGAGAGCATTTTCGGACAATAATTGAGTGACAAAAGGAAAATTTAGGATATTGTTAAATTCATCAATTAAATTGTTATTCTTATCATTCTTTTTATATAATTATCAATATATTTTTTTATCAATTATCAATAATTATTATATAATACATATTAGTGGAAAGTATATTAGTAATTTTTTTTAAAAATTAATAGAAACAATAATTTGATTGATGAATTTAACAATATTAAAAAATATTTAAAAATTTATTATTGACCCATTTTTCAACTCACATGAAACAACAAAGCTTTTCTTTAGCTATTGATCACCAGATCTGGAGTGGATATAGTAGTCAGTTGTACTACGATATGTGTCCATAAATGCAGATCATCAGTGTAGTATATGACATCGCATAGAGTCCCCAAGTTCGAAACCATCTCTACGTGAACATAAGCTAGGCTAGTAAAGGCTCTTCTAACAGCAATAAATGCTCAACAACATATCTTCTAGACGTATTTTCTCTTATTATTATCTACCCTGAAAGACAACCCTTGCTAGGAAATGAATATGAGCAAACTCTTGTCACTAGTTCATCCCTGCCTCCATGGGCTCCGAAAAAACACTCTCTGCCATTCTACTGTTCATGACTTCCATTCTGCTTCCATATTGTTATGCGAATGATATCATAAACAAACCCCATTTCATTTCAGACGCTAAGAGTGAAGCCCTCGTATCTTCCAAAGAAAATTTCAAACTGTGCTTCTTTATATTAGAGTTAAATAGCTGAGATTGTGTTTTATCTAAAAGACTTAAGTCTTGTGGTGGATGACCCCTTTTCAACTTTTTATATTATTTATTATTGGTTTAACTATTCAACGTGAGATATGTTCTAACACTCTCTCTCACTTGCAGCTCATCTTTTTGGGGTCTATCAAGTGGCTTGGGCTCCGGGATCTTTGTTGGGCCGTTATACTAGTCTCTAACACGTCTCATCAAGTGAAAGGTCCAATATTTGAGACATGAAACTTGCACGAGTCTATATTGCCTTGTATTTAATACTTGAGAAATTGAGGATGATGAGACTTAAACTCGGGATCTCGAGGTCAATCAAGCTCGATACCATATTAAAGAACCATCTCACCTAAAAACTTAAGTTAATAGGTGATACCTTAGAATATAATTTATACTAGTCTCTAACACTTTAGTCCAGGCAACTCTCCAAGCAGGTATGTTGGAATATGGTTCAACAAGGTCTCCAGACACACTGTTGTTTGGGTTGCCAATAGAGAAACTCCACTTAACAACTTCATAGGAATTTTCAGAATTTCGGATGATGGAAATCTTGCTGTTGTTGATAGCAAAGGGAGGAGGAATATTTGGTCCACAAACATTTCCATCCCAATTGCCAACTCAACTGCCAAGCTCTTACCTCAAGGCAACCTTGTTTTGGTAGTTAAAAACAACTCAGGTAACTCTGAATCCATTGTATGGCAAAGCTTTGATTATCCTACTGATACAATCTTGCCTGGAATGAAATTTGGGTTGAACCGGAAAACTGGTTTAAATCAATTAATAACTTCATGGAAGTCAAGTGATGAGCCGGCACCCGGAGATTTCTCATTTGGGTTTAATCCAAGTGGTTTACCTCAGATATTTTTGTACAAGAATTCTGCTCCATATTGGCGAGGTGGACCATGGAATGGTAGGTCCCTAAGTGGTGTACCGGATATATCAACCCGGATCAAGAGCAACGATGCAGACTTCAGCAACGAGGCTGGTTTATTCAACTATAGTTTTGTCAGCAACCAAGATGGAACTTACATAAGTTTGCACCAAAGCAACACTTCTCTTTTCTCAGCATTAGTGGAAGAGCCTATCGGCATGGTCAAGCGAGCCATATGGCGTGAGGATGGCCAGGATTGGGATTTGTTTTGGCGCGAGCCTGAAGAATCGTGTGATGTGTACGGAACCTGTGGCATTTATTCTATATGCAACTTCAACGGCGCAATGAAGTGCTCATGCTTGCAAGGGCTTGAACGTTTATCACCTCATGATTGGCATACTAAATGTGTAGAAAAGAGAAAATTCCAATGCGGGAAGGGTCCAGGAGAAGGGTTTTTGAAGATGGAAAATGTGAAGATTCCTGATGCTACGACGACTCGTGCTTACAGGAATTTGAGCTTACAATAGTGTGAATTGGAGTGCTTGAGGAGCTGTAATTGCAGTGGATATGCTATTCTAGATATAAATGATGAGGGAAATGGCTGTTTAGCTTGGTATGGTGAGCTAAAAGACATGCAGCAATATACCGAAGATGGACAGGATTTTTATCTGCGAGTAGAGGCAGGGGAGCTTGGTAAGCAGAGCAATAAGTAAATATTGATGTGCAAAACTTTCAGTCTGATTAATTGAGATCAGACATCTTATAGTTAAATGGGAATTATTTTTCGTAAAAGATGACATGATTAAATTTTTCAGCTGCATCTGCAAAGAAGAGCTCAAAATATTCCACGACTACAAAGAGGATACTTAGAGTCATGTTTCTGTCTGCAATTCTGTTGCTGCTTCTTTTAATGTCACTTTACATTCTCTCTCGAAAGAAGCATGCTGCAAGAAAAGGTAAGAATCATAGAAAACAAGATTCCAAGATAGGATCACTTCGAATTGGTTGAATTATAGCAGAACAAAACCACAATATTAGGCAGCGCCATAAAAATCAACCTGCATCTTTCGCTAATTTCACCGAACTGCATCATAAATTAGTCTAACTTGATCTTACCTTACAGTTGGATGCTGATAAGCTTTAATTATCACAATAGCTAATTGCACCTTGATTGCTATGATTATAGAATAATAGAACCTAAGGATTCTGAAGCTTCAGGTCCTCTCCTGATGAATGCATTAAATTGGATTTGTGAATTTACCACAATTGTATGTTCTAATAGCCATTTTTTTCCAGTTAACAATATCTTTGCATATTGATTTTGTCAGGCTATCTGGAGAAGCAACGGCGATGTGAGTTGCTGTCATTGGATCGAGATGCTTGCATGTCGGATTCTAAGGACCTTCTGAATGCACATGAATGCAGAGAGAGCACTAATCTAACCTTCTATGATCTAAGCACACAAAAAGCTTGGACAAGGTGGGTTTGGCCCTGTCTATAAGGTAATTCTCTTTCAATCGGAAATGATTCTAGGAAAAGTCTCATGATACTGTAAGAAATAGGGAAGGCTCTATTAATTATAGAACTGTTCATGCCCTTCCCTCAGGGGTACTCTCCAGTAAAACATTGGAATGAACTAAATCAGCATCTTTTGACTTACTGTCAGGGAACGCTATCCAATGGAGAAGAGGTAGCTATTAAAAGGCTATCAAAGAACTCTGGACAAGGAATAGTTGAGTTTAAAAATGAAGTTTTGTTGATTGCAAAACTTCAGCATAGAAATCTTGTCAGGCTTCTTGGCTGTTGCATTGAAGCAGAAGAAAAGATGCTGATCTATGAATGCATGCCAAACAAAAGCCTGGACTGCTTTATTTTTTGTATGACTGTCAGAATGTCTAGCAGACATAGATATAATTCCTCAAATGCATGTTCTAATGGAAATGATTATGCAAGTTTTAAACAGATCAATCAAGAAATGGATTGCTCAAATGGGAAAGCGGTTAGAAATTATTATGGGCATTGCTTGAGGAATCCTATATCTTCATCAGGACTCTAAGTTAAGAATTATCCAAAGGGACTTGAAAATAAGCAATATTCTTCTAGATGAAGAGATGAATCCCAAAATTTCAGATTTCGGAACAGCAAGGATTTTTGGTGGAAATCAAAGCCAAGCAAATACAAATAGAGTTGTCGGCACATTGTAAGTACCAGACATTAATGTCTTATGATGAAAATATGCCATACATTGTCACCAAACTGAAGTTCCTCTTATTTGTTATATTACACAGTGGATATATGTCACCAAAGTATGCCATGGATGGCCTTTTCTCCTTAAAATCCGACATCTTTAGTTTTGGAGTCATTCTGCTGGAGATCGTTAGTGGTAGGAAGAATGTTAGCTTTTCAAAAGAAGATCTCTCCTCAAATTTCATACGACATGTAAGCAGAGCTAGAACTCATTTGTCTACTGACCATTTATTGTGTCCTCATTACATATTTTAATCTAAAAGTATGGTAAATGCTGCAGGCATGGCTTCTGTGGAAAGATGGCAAAGCCTTGGGGATGATAGACTTATCCATTAGACATTTGTGTCCTAGTTCAGAAGTTCTGCGATGCATTCAAGTTGGTCTATTGTGTGTGCAAGATAGTGCAGCAAGCCACAACTCTTCCATCTCCAACAAAACCCACTTTTGCTATGATGAGAAGTCAGAATGATCCGGTTCCTAGATTTCTTGATGGAGAGACAAGTTCTTCAGTGAACCAGGTGACAATCAGTCTTGTGGATGCTCGATGAGCTCAATAGCTCTTCTAATAAAGTTTTATGCAGAATTCAGCGTTAAGTGTATTGTGCAAATCGATATGGAGATTTTTTTTGCCCCCTTCCCTCTTGTAACTGCTTGAAATCTGAAATGGGGCACAGGCTGCTGTAAAAACTCTTGAGAATTTTCTCCAAGATTTTTATAGCAACCTAGGAGATTTTGAAATTTCAAAGGGGTTGCCTAGAATATTGCAGTCAAATTAGCAGCTGGATCAACTTGAATGCAAGGACAGAGAAGAAAATGCTTTATGTGAAGATTGCAGGGCTCTTTATCTACGTTTCCAGCAAAGAACATATTTGGGAGCAAAACTAGACTAAAAATGTCTTGCTCAATTGATCAATTTTTTTTATGGTTGACTTGTTTTCACAAAAACAAATTCTTGGTATATGAATGTCTTGCTCATTTGAAATCCTAGACTCTCCAATAATTACGTTAATTTTATCTGACGAATCCGATGCAGGGCAATGAAAAGATTTTTGCAAATAACAGTAAAGCATCCATGTTTCATAGGTTATGTGTTTGCCTTAATGTTTTGTTTCTACCTTGAAATAGTTCATCCTTAAGTTTGATGTGTGAATGTTGGACATGCTTGTAGACCTTTCAATCCCTGAAAAATTATTTTCATACAAGGCAAACATAAAGCCTACGAGAAGTTAAGACTTGTTCAAGAGAAGTTTAGCCCTTTTAAGAGCTTTTTTTTTCCCTTCTATAATGAGAAATCTCATTCGCCACTTTTCTTTGACCCCAACTAAAAAATTCCAGGTATGTGACTTCAATGACAGATTTCTATGATAAAAAATTTATTCAGCCACCAAACACAAGAAAACAGGATGATAGTTTAACACAAACTAGGAAAACAAGAAAAGTATTAAGCTCATTTAAATTTGAGTTGAATGAGAATTGCTAATTCTGCATATTGAACCTTTTCTTCTTATCATGATTGAGACCTGAATATGACTTTCGAGATGTCATACAGTCAAACAAGGAAGATCCAAACCATGTCATATGAATAGATCTTAAAGACCAAATTAACATTTTGATCAAAACTTAGTGTTCTTTGAAAAACTTGATAGAATAATTCATCAGCCAATACCCTTTCTGGAATTGGCAAGGGCATTGCTGAAACTCAAATTTCCTCTTCTTAGTTGTCTGCCAAGATACTAATTTAGTAGGAAGAAAAGGCAGCTAGTTTAGGCACTTACTGTACAACATATTGTCCATGACTTGGTCACTATCAATTGGACTTGTCAAAGCCTACTCAGCAGTGACAACGGTATTTTAACTTCTTTGCTTCCATTTTCTTTTTCTGTGCCTGGGAGCTTAGTATCTTCAAAGATATTGAGTACTGACAAACCCCATGACCAATATCAAGAAATTCTGTCCTGCAACTATGATTCTTCCAAAACAGTTTCTTATTGCATTATTTCATTTCTTTGTTCTCCAGTTTTGCACTTCCCTAGATACCATAAGTGTGAACCAATCTGTTAAAGATGGAGATTTTATAGTTTCCAGTGGGGAGTCCTTTGCACTTGGATTCTTTAGTCCTGGAAAATCCAGCTACCGGTATTTTGGAATTTGGTACAACAAAATTTCAGAACAAAATGTTGTGTGGGTAGCAAACAGAGATAGTCCTATCAATGATTTCTCTGGAGTCCTCTCAATCACCAGTGAAGGTAACCTCGTTCTTCATAGCCAAAACCAAGCCCATCCCCTATGGTCCACAAATATTTCAGTTTCATTAAAAACCAATTCTACGGCTCAGTTGTTAGATTCTGGAAACCTTGTTTTGTTTGGTAGCTCTGGGGCCATGCTATGGCAAAGTTTTGATTATCCTACACATACTATGCTGCCAAATCAAAAACTTGGCTTGGACCACAGGACTGCTTTGAACCGGTTCCTGACAGCTTGGAAATCTCCTGATGACCCTGGTACTGGTAATTGGTCTTTTCGGCTCAATCCTAATGGGTCTCCTCAATTGTTCTTGTATGAGGGTCTGGTTCCAAGGTGGAGATCTGGTCACTGGAATGGCCTTAGATGGACTGGTGTACCCATCTTGCAGGCTCGCATTAACTTCAACATCAGCTTTGTGACTGATGATGATGGGGTAACCATAATGTGGGGTATTCGCAACAGACCAATCTTCTCGAGATTAGTTGTTGACGAGTCTGGATCGGTCCAACGGTTCACATGGCATGAACAAAAAGCTAAATGGGATTTATTTTGGTCTGCACCTACTGACCGGTGTGACAATTATGGACGATGTGGAGCTTATGGTAAGTGTGATCCATATGATGCTTATAATTTTGAGTGTACTTGCCTCCCCGGTTACCAACCCAAATCATCTAGTGATTGGTACCTTAGAGATGGGTCAGGCGGATGCGTTAGGAAGAATGAGACAGGAATTTGCAACGCTGGTGAAGGGTTCGTGAAGGTGGCAAATGTGAAAGTTCCAGATCCTTCAATGGCCTATATGGATAACAATTTGGATCTGAAATCTTGCAAGGAGCAGTGCTTGAAGAATTGTTCCTGCACAGCGTATGCAAGTGCAGTTGTGACAAGTAAGACCGGGTGCTTCTTATGGTATGGCAATTTGCTTGATACAAGAGTGTTCGCTGAGGGAGGACAGGATTTATACGTCCGTGTGGATGCGCTTGAGTTAGGTACCTTCAAATCTTATTGTCACTATATATCTTTTCTGCATTTGTCAACCACTTCTCAATTTTCAGTATGTCTTAGATACAGTACTCCCAGAACAAAAATATAGACATCTGAACGAAAAATGTACAAAAATTATCGGTACAATGGAAGTACCAGAGACATTTCTGATGAGGCTAAGCCCTCCCCTGCCCTCACCTACTATCTTTCTGCAATATGCACTATTACTGATAGTTCTGTTGAATTGTTATTATGCTAATTTGGATATCCTCTTTCCCCAGCTCAATATGAAAATAAGTCCAAAGATTTTCTTTCAAAGAAAGGCATGTTGGCCGGTTTGGTACTTTCTATAGCTGCTGCAGTTTTCTTTGTCGTTCTGTTCTCATTCTGGTTGATAAAAAAGAAGAAGACAGGTAAGAAATTATTTCTTAACTTTATTCCCAATAGAAGTGACACCCAAATTGTTTGAACTGAAGAATTGCAACTTAGAAGTTTTCCATTTGAAATCATTTGATCAGGGCTTTACGGATATAGGAAATGATAGTCTGCAATTGGCAGTATGTAATCCAATAGGTCTTATAGCCTCCTACTGAACCAAAAAAAAAAAAAATAATAAATAAAAAATTTCTTTGTGCTTTTAAAAGCTCGAGATTGAATTGTCTGTTTGCAATCATAAACACAGCTCAAAGCAGACAACTGAAATTTTCCACAAGCCTTGAACGCTTTGCAAATGAGAAGGAACTTGGTGGAAGTAGAACAAGTCAATATTTATCATTATTCGAAATAGACATCATACTTGCTGCAACAGAAAATTTCTCCATCAAGCTTGGACATGGTGGTTTTGGCTCCGTTTATAAGGTACTTTTCCTAGGAAATAAAATTGTTTCAGAATTCTATGTACTTCTATCAAATGTCAATGCTTGTTGATTCATATTTTATTCTAGTATGATTAGACCGACTGTGTTAGAACATCATGTGATTAATTTCTTTAAATTGAGAGTTAAACAAGGAAAGTAATTTCAGGGCAAGCTAGCGAATGGACAGGAAATAGCAGTGAAAAGATTATCTAAAACTTCAGGACAAGGGATACAGGAGTTTATGAATGAAGTCAGATTGATCTCTAAACTCCAGCACAGGAATCTTGTCAGGCTTTTTGGTTGTTGCATTCATGAACAAGAGAAGATGTTACTCTACGAGTATTTACCAAATAAAGCTTAGATTTTTTCATCTTTGGTATGGACCTCTTCAACAATTTTTGTGTCCATATTCAAAAGGAACAGTCCCCTGAATATGCAGTTTCACCTTGATCGCTAATCATAATAAATGATTTCTGTGGAAACCATTACTGTTTTAATGCAGACGAGACAAAAAGGGTACTATTGGATTGGCAAAAGCGTTTCGAAATTGTTTTCGGGATTGCACGAGGGGTTTTATACCTTCATCAAGATTCAAGACTAAAAATTATCCACAGGGATCTAAAAGCCAGCAATGTTCTACTAGATGCAGCAATGAAACCCAAAATTTCAGATTTTGGTATGGCTAGAATGTTTATGGAGGACCAAGTCCAAGCAAAAACTACTCGCGTTGTCGGAACTTAGTAAGTTACCTGATTCTCTCCTCTTTCCAATGAGCCATCTTGATAAACAGCCAACAAGTTTCATCTCTTGTGATCGTAGTGGCTACATGTCACCTGAGTACGCAATGCACGGGCAGTATTCGATAAAGTCAGATGTCTTCAGCTATGGAGTCTTAACACTGGAGATCATAAGTGGCAGGAAAAATAGCAACTACAACGAGAAAAGTTCCAGCCTGAATCTTATTGGACATGTAAGTCGATGGATAAATTTCTTGATAATATTTTAGTTGATTGTCTTCCTTTTAGATTCTGTTCTCAATTAATTTCTTAATTGTTTTAGGTATGGGACCTATGGAGAGAAGAAAAGGTCTTAGACATTGTTGATCCAATGCTGGGACAGTCATACCCTCCTCATGAAGTTCAGAGATGCGTTCAGATTGGACTATTGTGTGTGCAAGAAATTCCAGCTGATCGACCGACAATGTTAGAAGTTGTGTTCATGTTAGGTAACGAAGTAACTCTTCCTTCTCCTAAGAAGCCAGCATTTGCTTTAACAAAAAGTGGAAGAGACGAGCCAGCAATTAGAGGAGAAGTTTGTTCTATAAATGATGTTACAGTAACTATGATCGAAGCTCGCTAAAATCCAATCTCTCTTCTAACAAATTTCCTCTTACGGGAATTACATAGAAGCTAAAAGAAAACTTTGTCATAATAGTCTACTTTTCAAAGAGCATTTGTCAGGTTAGCTCCCCTGCTAATCTAATTTTCTACTTAGGATAGACAACTAAATAATTTCATTTATTAACAACTAGTACTCCCACAAGAAAATCAACTCCAATGAACTGCTTAAGGGGCTGTACCCTTGTTATTGCAAACTAGTTTTAAGAGCATTTTGTTCTAATTCTTTGTACAAGAGCAGTGCAAAATTGTTAAGATCGTAAAAAGAGCAATTACTTTCTTTATGCTTGTTTGGCCATCTTTGCTTCCTCATGTCCCAAATCCCAGATTGAAGCCATTCCTTGATCATGCAAGTCCTCTTGTGATGGACTTGAATTCAAGTCCATGTTCTCTCTAACAAGACAGAACTTTTATGTAAAAGTTTGTATCTCTATACTCCGAGTTTTCTCTTGATTAAATAGAGATGTTACAACGGATCATATGTCTTAATTACCACAAATCATATTTCGTAATTATAGCAGGTCCTATTATAGTAAAGAAATACATTTACATAGCAAATGACAAGCAATAATATGACAGATTACGGTTGACTATGACGGACTATGACAGCTATCATTGACACCCCCCCCTCAAATTGATGCTGGTGAGTCTAGTAGCATCAATTTGTTAACAAAAAACTGATGTCGAGTAAGAGTGAGAGGCTTTGTGAGGATGTCGGCAATTTGTTGATCCGTAGAGATGTGAGGAAGAGTAATAACACCGAGTATCGAATGCTTCTCGAATTGAATGACGATCAACCTCAATATGCTTGGTACGTTCATGATAGACGGGATTTGCCACAATTTGAATAGCACTCGGTGTTATCGGTATGTAGTGCGAGTAGGATTAGATTGTGGGTAACCCAATTCAAAACGTAAACCACGTAACCAAGTAATTTCGGAACATGTTACGGACATTGCACGATATTCGCTTCGATTGAGGATTTGAAAACTCGTTCTTGCTTCTTACATTTCCAAGAGATCAATACATCACCTAAGTATACACACCAACCGGTAGTAGAACGCCACGTATAAGGAAAACTAGCCCAATCGGCGTCACTATAAGCTACAAGTTGAAGCGAGGAACCGGATGGAAAAAAGAGGCCACGGTTAGAAGCACCCAAAAGATAGCGGATAATTTGCTTAACTGCTCGCCAAATGTAAATGATGTGGAGAAGCCATAAACCGACTCACCAAGTTGATCTGCAAATGAGGTATCGAGCTGAGTGATTGTCAAGTAAACTAAACTCCCAACTAGGTGTCGATATAGTGTAGGATCCGATAGAAGGTCACCATCATCTTTGCGATATTTAACGTTGATTTCCATCGATGTATCGACTTGCAGTGAAATTTTGTAAGCCTACTAACATAATTATGTCACCGAGATACTTGTGTTAATTCATAAAAATTCCTTTACTCGCTTTTATGAATTTCCAACCCCAAAAAATAAACAAGGGACCCAAGATCTTTCATATAAAAAGAAGTATGAAGAGAAGCTTTGAGTTGTTGAATTCCGAGTAATATCGGTTCTAGTGATGACAATATCATCGACATAAACAAGTAAAAGAACAATACCAATAGAAGTCTTTCGCAAGAATAGGGAAGGATCATACTTGCTTTGCACAAAAGAGAGATGAAGAAGAGTTTGTTGAAATTTCTCAAACCAAAAGCGAGGAGCTTACTTAAGCCCGTATAAAGAGCACTTTAAATGAAAAACATCGAGTAGCAGCTATTGTCAAACCCGGTGGATGACACATATAGATATCTTCTTTAATATCTTCATGAAAGAACGCATTTTTGACATCCATCCGATGTATTTCCTAATTCCGAGAAGCTGCAATAGCCAAGATTGGACGAACGGTAGTCATCTTGGCAATTGGAGCAAAAGTTTCCTCGTAATCGATCCCATATTCTTGACGATTGCCAAGTGCCACAAGTCAAGCCTTACACCGTTCAAATGAACCATCGGATTTAAGTTTGACGAGAGAATACCCATTTACAACCAATTGGAGTGATTGAAGATGGACAAGATACAATCTCCCATGTGTTATTTTACCGCAAAACATCAAGTTCCTCCCGAATAGCTTTCTTCCGGGAATCAAACTTCATAGCTTTTGAGTAAGATCTAGGAATAGTAATAGATGACAGTGTTGTAGCTAAAGATGTATAAGAACTATATCGATTAGGAGAATATCCATACCTTTTTGGTGGATGTGAGGTGCGAGTAGACCTTCGAAGTTGTGGTGAGTCAACATCGAGGACCGATGGCAGGGAAGACTCGTGGAGGTTGTAAGAGAGCTATATCGGGGTCGGTTAAGCGGATGACTCATGAAGAATGTCTCTAGTTTGAACCTCATTATCATTTCTCCTTGTATACACAATGTCGAGCCTAAAACATATGATAGGAATAGAAGGATTTTTATTATGATGATCTGGACGGATCCTCAAAAGCTGAAAGAAAGGATTGACTAGAAATGTGTGAAGTGACATCATAAGAGGGAAAGAAATACCGATGGTCAAAAAATATGACATTACGGGAAATCCGAATTCATTGAGTGGTGGGATCAAAACACATATAACCCTTTTGATGTGGTGCATATCCAAGAAAAGCATATCTAATTGATTGAGGAGAAAGTTTTGTGCGTTCATGAAGAGGAAGGAGAACAAAACTAACACGACCAAATGGATGGAGATATGTATATTCGAGGTGCTTGGTGATGGAGAAGGAAGTATGGTGTTTGATTGTAAAGAACAATCGTAGGAATACGATTGATTAAATGTACTTGCGAGTAGTCAAAGCTTCAACCCGTAATTGTGATGGAACAACAGAATTCAATGAGTAAGGAGCGCACCACATCAAGAAGGTGATGATTTTTTCGCTCGAGTGATGCCATTTTGTCGAGGTGTATATGGATAACTCTTTTGAGAAATAATTCCTTTTTGTTGAAGAAACTCTTGGAATTTTTT